CTTAAGTCTCCTTTCTTTGGCATTTTGAGTAATTGGCCTTTCTTTCAATCTGTAGGTACCTTGCCCTCTTTTCAGGCCTTCTCCAGTAGTTGTGTCATCAAGTACGCTGTTGTTTCTGGGTCCATTTTCAGTGCCTCTTCCAGGATTCCGTCTGGCCCTGCTGCTTTTAAAGTTTTAAGCATCTTGATTGCCTTCAGGATTTCTGTTCTCGTCAGAGGGTTAATGTCTACTGGTAGTTCTGCTTCCGTTGTTGGTATTATTGTGCGCATTGTAGGTGGCGGTCGATTTAGAAGTCTTTTGAAGTGTTCACCTCGGTGTTTCCTTTGCTCAAACTCTTTGGTGACTGGCTTTCCATTGCCATCGTTCACTGGCTCAATTTGTGCTGAACTTTTCCCCGATAGGTACCTAGTTGTTTGGTAGAGTGTTGCGAGGTCTCCTTTGCCTGCAGCTTGTTCTGCTTTATAATAATAATAATTTATATTTTCATATAAACATAAATTTACATGAAAATGCATGCCATTTTTACAGGCACGATCAAGTATGATATAATGACAAATAGTAGATTGTCTACAAGTTAATAATGTTTGAACAGCTAAATATTTGATATATATGTATATAAATACACCCATTGTCTGACCCAGGCCGTATCACTATTGAATTAAACAGTAGTCCTCCAGGTTGCGCAGGAAAATCGACTTAGTTTCGTTTTCAACCCGTAGTTGTAGGCATACGATAGCCAACCAATATTGTGGTAAATACAACGTTTACAAGGGATAGTAAGATTATCACTTTTTTAAAAGTTCAAATTGTTGAATTATATAGTACAAGCAATCGGAACAGATTCTTATAATTGTTAATTTGTAAATCTTCCACGAAGGTTTACATCGAGGTTGAGCGACAACCACGTGCTTGAACGCTATTTCAGGAAGAGGAGAAAATCCTGCACAGCTACAAAGTGGTATAAAATGCAATCATGAATAATACATTATTGGAAGTATATTCACAAGAAAAATACAAGAATAAGCTATACAGTACTTGATATGATAATGCACATTTGCAATGTATGATGCTAACCATATTAGTCTTACCGTAGAAAACTATGACGTTTTCTATAAAAATAAAGTTATTCTCAAACATGAGTGCTGTTGTTATGTTTTTTTACCATCAGAGCAACCGAACTTTATGCGAGAGAAGAGTGTGAATGAGAAAAAAGAGTAAATTTCAGCTTTACTAAAGGCCTAGGAAGTTGAGATAAAATAGGGTATAATAGTAATTAGGTAGACGGATTATCGTGAAGTATATAAGTGACATTTCAGAGAGAAGTGGCTAGAAGGGTTAGAACCTGTTGAATATGGTGACCTTGCCATGGCTTCATAATATTTTCTTTTGTCTTTCCTGGCACTCTTCTTTACTCTTTTGTTCGGTGTCTTGTAGTTTGCATTCAAATCCTGTTTTTGTTGCTCATCGGTGCACTGGAGAATCTTTTGTTTAACCACCCCTCTGTCTTCTATCAGTTTCCAAGTGTCCGTAGTGAGCCAATGTTTGTCCTTTCTCTTCTTTCTGCCCAGAACTCCCAAGCAGGTTCGACTCCGCACTGCTTTCAGGCTGTTCCAGTGTTTTCCAACGTCGGTTTCTTCTCTGGTGTTCATTTGTGTCTCCGCCTTTTTACTTAAGTTTGCAGTGAAGATATCTTTTTATGGCCTTGTCCTTCAGTTTTTGAGTATTGAACTTGACTTGTGGTTAATTTGCTGCTCCTGTTTGATTTGGACTGTCCCTTGTACGAGATAGTGGTCTGAGCCAACGTCTGCTCCTCTTCTTGCTTTTGTGTCCAGTAGGCTGCGCCTCCACTTCCTTGAGATTGAGATGAAGTCAATTTGGTATTTGGTTCGCCCGTCTGGTGACACCCATGTAGCCTTGAGCATAAATGTGCTCGTATACACTGCCACCAATCACCAGTTCATTGAAGATGCAGAAGTCGGCGAAGAGTTCTCCATTTGTATTCATTTCTCCAAGAGCTTCTCTACACATGATGAGTTCCCTTCCTGTGTTGTCTGATCCCAGTTTGGCGTTCATGTCTTCCATTAGTATTTTAATGTCACAGACTGGAGTATTGTCCATTGTTGCCTGTAGTTGTCTGTAGAACTCTTCTTTCTTTTCGAGGTCTGCGTTGTTTGTGGGTGCATAGCATTGTATAACTGACACTTTCCTTCCTTTGGAGTTGAATCTGGCGGTCATTATCCTGGGCGAGATCGCCTCCCATTGCATCAGGGCCTTCGTTGCCGTTGGTGACATCATGATAGCCACGCCCTCGGTGTGCGAGTGGTTATCCTCTGGGTGACCGGAGTAGGTCACTGACTCACCCGTCGACAATTTGGTGAGTCCATTCCCGTTCCACCTGCTTTCCCATATTCTCAATACTTGAATTCCGTATCTTTCCCTCTCGTTTGCAATGTATGCAGCTTTGCCAATCTCGTGCATGTTGAGGATGTTCCATGTCACCACAAGGACTTTTTCTTTTGGCGCAAGGAAATTCATCGTGCTGAAGTTTCTGTAGCAGCTTTGTTTACAGGGTGGGTTTGCTAGCCTCACGCCTGAGAAGGGGGTTGTTACATGAGTATATAGTTTACAGAGGGTTGCTGTCCTTAGCATCAGGAAAACAAAGAATAAAGCAATTGGAACAACACCAGCAAGTGGAAAACAAAATAATATACACCAGGAAGGGTAGCGACAACAACAATAAATAAAATCTGAGCCGTAGTACTACTGTCAAAAAGTAAGAAAGTGATACCAAAACCATAGACTCACTGACTTGGGTCCAACTGGGTATATAAATCCAACAATATACACAATTATAGATATTAGTTAGTGCTAAACAGTCACAAAATGCCAACACAGATAATTATAGGTATTATCAGTGAACAAGACTATATCCACAGATTCAGTTTTCTAAAGTAAAATAATTAAAACAGATTCCACAACTTCCTGGCTAGAAACACAGGAGCAATAAGAGTTTTATATAACTAAGCAGTCGTAGCGTACTTATCGTAAAGCGCGTCAAGGTCTACATAACCTACACTAATTAAATGTTATTACCTCTTTTTTTCGACGACACGGTATGATAAACAAGTGAAAGGATTAATTCCATTCACAGTAGCAACACACAGACGCATACAGCTAAAAATAATTAATCGCAGCACCACTTCTTTTGGAGTAAACTAAATCTACCGCAGTCGGGTTGTGAAGAGAATTACTCAGAAGTTCACCGAAGACCAGAGACGTTTGACTCACAACCAAGAAGAGAGCACGAAGAAATCAAATTGGTTTTATACTAGCTCGTAAAAACATTGTTGGATATGGGGGGAGTTTAACTTGAAGGTCATCAGGCCTCTCAGGTGGTTATCACGTTCTTGGGATTTCATAGTAAGGTCAGTAACTCCATTGATATCATTTCCTCGTTTAATATTCTTGTTCAGACGACCGTGCCGGAACTTTAAAAACCCTGGACACTTTCGTGTTTATTTGTGACACTAGCTGCAGCTAATCGAGCTTATGTATTGATTTGCAGACCTAATGCATTTGCGGGACAAAGCGACAATTTTATGGGCTATGTAGTAACTTTGAGCCAAAGTTCGGGCTCATCGTAGATAGTGATGTCTTCAGGCGAACAATTTCAACCTTGACAAGAACCCAATGCTCGTCTTGGTTTTCTGCAGTGTAACCGAATTTTTCGCTAGTTAGTGCGAAGCTCTAATCAAATATATAATGTGGGAATAATTTATAGGGGTCTATGAGTGAACTTATACAGACGGTCCGAATAAAAGTGTGTAAAATACTTTGGTTCATTGAAAAATTGTACATCTAAAGGATAAGACCGATCCTTAGCCCTAAATCAACGCCAATATTACATTTATTCCGAAAATTGTTCCTGTTTGTAACTCATAACCCTAATCTGATGGTTAAGCCTAGCTCCTAAAGTTAAAAGTATGTAAATCAAGTCGACAGGAATCCCTTAAAACCACTCAAACTTGGCCATTTGGTGGCTGGTATATTTTATCTTCATCACATAGACATGGAGAAGCTTTTCGATTAATGAACTTATGCCAGTCTTTTCGTTTAGTTCCTACAGTAGATTTCACCGATTATAAGTGCATTTATGGACTCAGTCATTTGCGTTTAATTGTCTAATAAATTCTTTTATTTTTAGAAAATCTCTACAGTTTGTCTCCTCGTTATAAGTATCGGGATTTATAGTTGCACTGCAGTCAGTATCTTCTGGGGCTGGCAAATAATAAGAACCCATTTTGTATGTAGTTTATTCAAAAACAAAACTACTGAGTTGATCTGCACCATATGGCATTATTCTTCTATCCCTTAATCTATGCAGTGTATTCCTGTCAATATTTAGAGCTGAAGATTCCATTGTTAACTTAAAAACATGTTGAAATGAACGCCCTCAACACACACTGTATTCTGGTGTAATAACACTAGCCAAGATACATATAACCTCCTTTACGAGTATAATCCTAATGAATAGCTTAAATGTGCGTCGGTAGCACAGCGGTTAGGACGCTCGCCGACCATGCACATGGTCCGGGGTTCGATCTCCTGCCGACGCACACCTGATATCAATGATCGGCCTGCTAAATTTGGACTACCGATATAACATGCTGAAAATTCCATAGTTGTGCCAAAAAGTACTGCGTGGAATCAAGCTACAATTAAAAAATAATTAATAAAAAAATTTATTGATAGATTTAAAGAAACGATAAGCAGAGTATACATTGGTGACATGTATCTCTAGCATACCGAACAGTAGATTTTGAAAAGCTCTTGCATAATTTTCAATAGGATATGCAATAATGATTACCGAAAGATAAGTCACAACGTAGATTCTAGGTGGTTAGTTACTTAGATCCCATTTACCTGACAAATATTTTTCACGCACTAGGCCATTAGTCACACATTGTGTGAGAGCTGCTGATACAATACACTTAGGTTACGGTAGGTAGTGCAGGACTTGAACGCATGATCCACTGGCTGAGTAATCCATATATCCGCTGGTTTTTTTAAAATAAAACACACTTTCGTTGTTGACTAAAGCTGGGGCTACAGATTTTGGATTAAATACCACAGCCAGATTTTCCAATGCTACGGATGCGTGGAATTCTAATCTGATGCACTTCTGTGCCATGTTCTTTTCTGATGTGTATTTGTCCTCAACAATGCTGTAAAAAAACTTAATTGGGTCTATCTTAGCTAAATAGATCCATCGCTAAGATCCAATTCCCGTAAATAATTGGTTGCAATAAGTTCAAAAGCATCACTGATTATATAAATAGGGTTCCTCAATTCCATACTCAGTAGACTATTGGGGAGCAGTGATGCTATTCCAAGCAGTGTGTTATGCTTCTGGGTGTTTCCAGACTCATGATTTCACTTGCTCATATTGATAGAGTGTTGCTTATTTGAAGCGCTTTGAAACGTTCTTTAGGTGATAAGCATTGAATTGTTGTGTTAAATTATCTTATCTCAGGTTTTCCTCCTTTAGACTTGCCGTCCAAATATCAAACTGCAACGGTTCTTAGACCTTATCATTTAAATCAAAATGCGCCATGTGCGATGCTTGTCGCAGTGTCAGTTTTATCCTGATGCAACAGTTAATGTCCCTGTAAACGTTTCCTTCACTAGAGCTTTCCTAGGGTATGTTAACTTTCGAATTTTTGATACTATGTAACTTAACGTATGTTTAGAGATAATTTTAAGGGTTTAAGAGGACGCTGTATGGCGGCAAAACCCAACCAAGAATCTCCTAACAACTCTAATCCCAAACATTTCTCCAAAGTTGCAAAGGATACAATACTGAAAGAAGAAGTGGGATGGAGTCTTACAAAAACACTTCCGGAACCTGTTTGCAAACATATTGTTTTCTCTGATTCTACAGATAGTATTTGTGAACTAAGTCCTTCAGATACTATGCAGGAAACTTCTAGCAAAACCAACCATTTACCAGAGCATCATACTGGAGTGAATATGCTACCCAATGGAATGTCAAGAAAGTATTTAAGCTCTGTTTCTTATACCCTGAGGAATTTACTCAACACAAGTTCTTCAGAAAGTGAGTCTTCGTGCACCGATTCTGTCCATGAATACATAACTCAAAATCCCGTTCCTATGAATAATTCTTCGCGACAAATAACAAAACAGTTGACTTTAGCAGATGCTTCCACTGGGAATTCCGATAATGATATTGATAAGTGGGATGAAATGCTTGATGAAATGCGGTATTTGGGTTTCCCGACCACCTTTGGTTGCGTATGTTGCATTTATTTGTTATCAATTAATCGGATTTATTTAGCCTCGAAAACATAGAAATGCGGATTCGAAGTATGTAAGGTAAGCAAATTTCTAGTTAATTTTGTAAGAGTACAGGGATTACACGTGTTTCTGTTTTGGTTGCTTCGTTACTTTTTAGGCTTAATTTTGTTTGTGCTCATGTATATTTGTGGCTTTTAGTGAAAAGGAAGATAGTGGAATTAGATTTTAAGACTTTTTTGTCTTCATTAAAGTTATAATAAAAATACTTATAGATACAAATAGATACCGTCGATATAAGGCTTTGGATTGCCGCGTCATACTTCAAGTTGTTACCTTTCATATTTGTACATCGGTTAAATAAGCAGTTAGAGAAATAAGGTAGTGAAAACCATGAAGTCAAAGGTCATAAAAGGCTTCAAAACAAAAGATATAAAGATGAATTAAAGAAATGCTTTATTACAAGTAAAGTATCAATAAGATTTCGTCAGTTACCAACTAATCAGACACTGGTATGATTTCCCAAGCAAGTTTTCAAATGGAGTGTCAATACAGTCGAGTCTTGAAGTAGCGATCCACATTTTAGAAGCGACGTCTCCTGAGTATTCAAATCTTATCGCTTAAAGTGAGTGTAAGTCAATTTCCTTGATTGATAGACACAATTTAATACCTCATGTAATAGCATATCTACTTGTCTGAAATTTATACTACCCGGGAATATATAATTATCTGTGTATTTAGGATAAAAGAGTTCACTGGGTGCAAAGTCTCAAATTAAAACGTAGGGGCTTTTCTACCTCTCTTGACGTCCTTGTCCACTAAATTCTCATCAAATTAACACATCTAAATATTTAACTTTTCGTAGGAGACCGGTCATATTTTGGTAGGAATCATCTGTATCTTCCAAACCGTACGCAGACAGTATGTATGCAGAAATTCTTTTGTTTGTATCTCAATTTCTTTTATCTATAAAATTATCATTTTGTCGGACAGTATTCATACATTGTCAACTGGAATCACTGCACCTTACTGGAATTCAAAGACGTTAGGCCTGTCTGACCTACAGACACTCTAAACTTAAAACATTTAGTCATAATCCTGTGATCAGACTAGGTGAATTTGAATCTCTTATCTGAATCTTCTGTGTCTATCCCTTAAATATATCACATTTCCATGGCTCAGTATGCCAAATTTTCAGTTAAACCCAGGGTACAGTATTGAAGTTCATGCATTTACTCCAGAGCCTACCCTTAATACAGCATTTGGGTTTAGGTTGTAGGGCAAGAAGTTAAAGTTATTGCAGAACTGTTTGCACAGAGGCATGAAGGAAGTTAAGAAGATTACTCACAACACAGATGAAATTCAGGCAGAATTTTATTGATAACAAATGTGTAATGGGCGGTTGGCAGTTTTCCCTTTTCCTTCACCGTGTGAGCTGATATCTTCTCGTGCTTGCAAAAGAAAAACGATTTATTCTGAGTATCTCTAGAGCCCCGGTGCATATAGTTAAAAGCAAAAACAGTAAATGTTTGTCATTAAAAGCAAAAACACTAGGTTTGGTGCTTTCTGGAGCACCTTAAATACACCCAGCAAATTCTTATTACTTTTTCAAATTAGATTAGTTTCAGTAAGTTAGAAATTGTAATTTGGAGTCTGATACTTGAGCTACGAACTACTCTACGTATTGCTTTTAAAAGCATCATAAGACTAATGTAAAAGATACGTAAGTTGTATTTGGATGCTTCTTTGTGTTCTGTTTATCACAAATTATCTAAGTTAGATTGTAAGAATGACCAGATTCATTGGATGATGAAGTCAAAAGCAAGAGGATACGTTCATTTCATTTAACCGAAAGTAGTAAAATGAGCAACCTCACTTTCATTTTAATAATGATAATAACATCTTTATTCTGGACAGTATTTATAAAATGTGCAGAATTTCCGGAGTAGTGTACTGCATGATATTTTCCCTTCATACAATGTCTTCAATTTATACATTAATTGACATATCCTATGACACAATGATCTCTTAGCTGAAGCACCAACCATTCCATTATGATTTATCTGCTTTGCCTCCTTCAAGAAATCCACGATACCTAGTTGAAAGCCAATTGTAAGATGTTCAGAAGTACATTTTGAGACCTAAGGACATAACTGAATAACAATGATCTCATGTATTGGAACCCGTTACCACCCACAATCCGGCCATTCCTCAGGTTTAGTAGGAACTTGCAAACACTTTAAATACACACAAGCGTAGGTAATAAATACCATTAGAGGAGAGAAAATATATGCAATAGAGAGATGGCATTTTTGTTGGCAGCCCAAGTTTTAAGCAGGCCGCCAGTGTTACACCACCAGTTAGCCTTCATTTTACTCCTGATTATTTAGTTACTAATAAATGAAAAGCTTTCTCCTGAAAAGGTAATAAAGTGTAAAGAAAAACTATCATCAGAAGTCTACTGATTAAATTTTAAAAAAAACATGACTGATTGATGAAACAATTTAGGATAGAATAGCTTTGTAAAGTAGTGCATAAGTTTAATTTGCCACACCTCGGAACTTATGAATACATAAAAGTAGAGATAAGAAATGTAATAAAATTACAGTGAATAAAGATGCATAGAAGAGAGAGTAACTGTGTGATAATCAGTGTATATTTTCAGAATCTGAATATTGACATGGAATGAATACATTTCTGAGGTTGTGGTCAGTTTTCATACATATAATGAAGGGTCATACAGTCAAAATAGAAACATATAACGTTACGACTAAGACCAGTACGATATATATATGTATGTATATGAATTTATATGATTACAATGAATTCTAAACCACAGAATGTAAAGTCTGCAACTATCTTATTCGGTTTTTCGATGTCAACAATCAGCATGACGTTTTGCTGCATCATTCAGGTCGATATGAAAAACTTTATATATCGGTGTAGGTTGTGATCTTGCCAGTCTTAGTATTTCTTTTCTGAGCACTGGGATAGACACCAATTTTGGTGTATTAAATAAATTTCTCAATCGATCAAAGTTTATGATATCTGAGTGTGATCTGTCTCTCATTTGATGGGATAGATACTCTCAAATTATGCTGGTGGTGGAAATTTGTTTATAAGTGGTACTTACTTTATTAAACATGCGACAGGAAATCCGTGTTTGGTCTGTCAGTTCTGTTTTCAAATGTAGTTGCAAGTGTACTGTAACTAATTGACAGTTTCAGTTTCAAAAAGAACGCCTTTAAACCAGTCACAGGTTATCATTTTAGCTGGTTTATCAGTCAGTATTCACTTGGTCAATTATTGGTCAATGCTGCTTCTGCAGTATATCAATGAAAAGACTTCACGAATGAATCTTTGGATTTTTTCTTTAACGCTTTTCGGATCTATATCCGACAGTTTAAGATAATGCAAATTTCATTTATTTTTCTATGAGTTACAGGTCGTGTTAGCTTGAAATTCATTTTAATTGTGACTAACTTACATATATGCATGCAAAAAAAACTATTCTAGTTATACACATATACTTTTACTAGGCCTGTAGACCTTTCATCAGATTTCTATGAGGATGATGAGGATGATCAAGATGACCAGTGGCTGTTATTCTTTGCTAGTAGGCTCGAAAATAATCTCGCACTGCGGAACAAAACAACTAAGCTCTATAGTCTTTCTGGTGAGTCAATGCGAATATATCTTTTCGTTTGTCTTCTAATTAATTCCCGTTGAATGCTTTAACAGTTCCCGTAAACATACATAGATATATACATATTATTGTTGTCCCCTTGGGTTCCGAGTGAAACATAGGTAAATCCTCCATAAAGTCAAGATCTTCTAGAGTCTCCTTATCGATCTAAAGTATTCCCGTTTCCTCGCTCCCCACGAACAATGTCCCGCATAATACAGTCCACCACAATTAGAAATATCATCGGGGATAGTAGACATACAGCCTTGTTTTACTCCTGTATTCACTTTGAAGGTTTCACTTAGTTTACCGTTGTGGATAACCTGACAAGTGGCATTGTCATATAGATCCAGCTGTTGAATGAGGTTGATAAAGATTTGGGGCACACCATAGTTGTTGAAGCAGTTTCCAAATTATTTCGCGGGCAACTCTGTCGAAGGCTTTTTCAAAGTCGATGAAATTAAGGTACTGAGTTGACTGGCATTCTATGCTCTATTCGATGATGGTGAGTAGAGTTGCAATTTGATCAGCACATGATTTGCTTTTCATGAATCCAGCTTATATATATATATATATAAGTAGAACGAACCATTTTTGAGAGAATCATCGGGAGATTTTCCTAAGATTACGATCAAATTGAAACTAAATGATCTATTAATGGTTTTAAAAAAAAATTTAATTTTCACAAACTGTTGTTACTGCCTTACATGTTGATATTTTGAATGTCCCCCGTTATTTGTACGGAGATTCCAACTAAGGCTTTACATTTTTCTGGTTGTTCATGTTAAAAATAACCCCGTAGATATTGACATTGAAAGTCTTGGGAAATGCACTGGATCATTTCCCAGTCCATCTGTAGAACTGAAAAGTATGGTTGATCCATGTGTTTGTGCGTCGTCAATTTTCTCAAGAATGTGTTATCTGTTCGAGATGGTTTGTATATTTACCGACTACGATCATATTACTAGTAATAATAGGTAAGTTTTTGAAAACTATTTTCATTTCATTGGATTGCTCTATATTAAAGTGGTTTTTTGTACAAAAGTTTTTATTAGATTACTTTTCAACTAATTTAATCAAACTGTATGAAACGTGACATTTTGATGTGTATCATGCCATTAAAGTGTTGTTTTTAACCTCAATTACCCAGAACAGATTTTACATGTACCACGCTGAGAGGCACACTTATCGTGTGAGGGCTGATGATACTGCCTAAATGCACAGACAAAAGTAGGCGGAGCGGGATCCACTGACTGAAAACCAAGTGCCTAGGCCAATTCTGTTTGTCTGCTTTGGACATAGAACTTTGCATCGATGTGCAGCAGTTCAAGTCGCCACACTCCCTCCATTTAGCACACAAAGCAAGAGGAGAAAGTAGAAGAAATGCATAACAGAGACAGTAGACAGAGGTGTGAGACAAAGGAATAGTAATAACGAAGAACAAAACAGTTTAAATGGAAATCATAAGTCACAAGGAGTGGATGCATCTGCGCCAGCCATTGAGAACGATTTTGAGCCATATCACCGATTGTATCCAGCCACTGGTTTTAACCATCCCGAGGAGCCCAACCAGGAATTCCACATCTTCCCACGTGACTGGCTTAAACTAACTGTTGTGGATTCCATTGACTGATGAAGCCATGTTTCGGTTTGATCACCACTGGCCCTTTTCCAACCTCACCCTATGTCAGCTAACATTGCCCTTGAGGAAGGCAATGGTTAAGCATACGTAACACATGTCCTAACCATCTCAGTCGATGTAACTTCACAGCCTCGTCGATTGATTTCCCCTCCCTCCATAGTGTAAGAAAGATTCTTACACTATGCTGTTAACTGCTTTTAGTCTAATCGCTATCCTAACAACCTTCCTGACATGGGTAGAGCCTGCAGGAATAATATTTCCAGCCAGTGTAGCTTGTTGGGTCATTGCGATGTGCAAGCCCGACCACCATATCAAGGTAGCAGCTATCGATCGGGTTTATATTGACTATCGAAATTGACAATTAAAAACATGTTTTTGTAGTTGATTAGAGGTGACCGACACTACGGACTCAAATTCCACTATTAGTGTTCATGTACCGACTGACTGTTTACAAGATCTTATTTAGTGATAATCTCTAAGTGTTTTTTATTTATTTTGGTGGTCAATCTTTTCTCTGTCGATTTAATCTTCACAGTCGTTCCTGTTAGATCTCTCTTCTTCTTCCTCTTCTTCTTTTTACTTGTAGCTGTCGTGCATTTAGTGAATGGCAATTAAATCTACCTCGCTGTTGGGATTCTGCAACATTCAACCTAAAAGGTAGATTTCAATTTGTTCTCTTTTTGTTATCATTTTAATCACAGTCGCAAATTTATAATGCATCATTCTAATATAACTCTTTTCAACTATACATCTGTTACTTTGACTATTTAAGTCTTTCACTTCAGGGATGATTTTGTGTGCAGTATTGATGGCTAATTCTGTAATTGTGTTTCAACTAGGTATATAAATGACTACTATCAGTTAACTGAAACTTACCTAAGTCTGTTCAATAGACAGAATGAATTTTGTTTTATATGGGTAAAATCAGTTAAACGTAACATGACTAGCAGGTGCTTTTACTGTCTCGCCCCATATAGTTTTGTATCTTTGTACTGCATCACAAAGCTACATTATCAGAACAACACCTAGTATAACAGTCGAAGTAGCTACATTTCATATCAGCTGATGAAGAAGAATGATGAAAAGACAAGACGAAAGAGGGGAAATGAAAATTTAAAGAAAGGAATCGAGTGTAATATTGTGATTAAAAGAAAGATGACTTCCAATCATGTGTGTGTGCGTGCGTGTACATCCAAGTCGTATTGTGGTGAGAGCTGTCTACTAGCCAAAAGTGGTAGACAGCAATTTACGTCAATGTTTACGTTCTCAAGATTTGTCGTGAGAAAATATGAACAAAGACTGATTGAAAACCAACCACAACAGACTTTGCGTAGGCGGATACAGTTAACATATAGATGATCTGACATTCAAGAAACAGTCACAAAGAGATGAAAGATTAACTTTAAGTGAGAAACTACCAATCAGAAGACTGTGTTTGTTTGCTTAACTAAACTATAATAATGTACTTGAAAATATGTAAATATGTTTTGATTTCCTCAATAAACGATATGTTGCCTCGCCCTTGTCTTCTGCTGTTACAGTATCACCTTAACTTACTAACTTAATGACTCCACTTGTTTCTGAGGCTTTAACCAATCAGACACCATCTCTATCCAAAGGTCAAATCGAAAGGCAGAGCTTGTCAGTATCATGGAATTCGCCAATGGACCGTTCCGACTGACTAATGTTAAAACGCACAACACTTAAGTCTTGATTTCTATTAATAACTATTTCGAATAATGAATTCAGTGTTTGATAATGTCCTATTTTGATAGTTCTATGGTGAGAGCTGTGTGCTAGCCAAAATTGTAGACAATAATTTACGTCAACGTTTATATCCCGAATCGGGGTCATAAGAAAAAACGATAACAAAGTTTAACCTTGAGGAACTCACCAACCAATCACAGCAGACTTAACGTGTGCAAATACGATTCGCAGATATATCGCCTGACTATCTAAGAAACGGTCACAAAGAGGTGACAGAATAACTTTCAGCAAGAAAACAACCAATCAGAAGACGCTGCTTCTCTGCTAACAATAACGAATAATAATGTACATAAAAATCTATACATATCTGTTTATCTTTCTCAATAAACAATCTGTTGCCTGGCCCCTGTCTTCTGTCGTTACAGTTCTTCATACTTAGAATTATTCATTCAAACACAAACCTGGACATCATGGACACCGGGAAACGCATCACACGAAATCTTAGTTTATGCGAGGGTTCGGATATTCTCGGTACACCCAGACGGAAGCTGGTGGTCGTCTTGAGGGGTGGTCACCTCTCTCCACCGAGTCTTTGACTTTAAGTCTGATTTACAAGGCAGTGGAGCAAAGTCAGGATCTGTGTTCCCATGGTTTCCGGTGTACAAAACAGATTCATGCTCCATTCGATACTTTCAGATTCCGGAGGCGATATACACCATAGGTTGGGTGGGAATCAGGGTTTTTCAGCTTTCCTAAGTGTATACTAGCATCTTCACCAGTCTGGTTGTGAGTGCATTATCCCTTTCACTTTTGTGAGAAATATCTCCGCGCTGGGTGAAGTTGGTGGATAGAACTTGCTTGGTAGAGGCTATTAACGCGTGGTCTCAACCTCGGCCATACCAGGTCATTTATGGAGGTAAACTTGAAGTAACGAAGCACAATATTCATTACTCATCACTATCCTATATAAATACAAAGTATGAGTATCTCGTCACATTATGCTTTTTAAGATGGAAAAGTAATATTTTGTGTAACTTTATTGTTTGTGAAATGTGTAGTATAACAAATGATAATCTTAGCTAAGTTGTGGCTATTTACTCTAGAGTATATCGACCAAAAGTTGATTCACACTTGTACTGTTTATTGTCCTCCAAAGTCTGTATTTAATAAGAATTCGTTTTACCTTTGTAATTAGAATAAAAAAAAATGAAGAGTCATAGCTACATTAGGTAGTTTAGCTTTTATCGTTACAAAATGAACTACAACTTCTGTGGAAATTATTTTATCACATTTCATTTTTTTAGTTTTAACAACAATCAGTCTATGATTGATTCGTGATTGAATTACGCCTATACATATTTTTGTTCCTTCTCAGCTGTGTTATACAAATGTCGTTCCTTTTGGCGTTACCATCCACCGATGCCTAAAAAACCAGCCAATTGTAAGCCAATGTTAATTACGAATATTGATTCGTCAATGGAGAAATATTGGGCACAAAGATATCGTTTATTCTCTCGTTTCGATTATGGTGTTGAGGTTGATTCTGGTAAGATGTAATTCGATTTAGACATGTTATTTTTTTCTGGGAATATTTTAATGAAGTTGTACAGAAAAATTTAGGATATACTGACTAACTAGTTGATTACTTTTTGTATGTGTGTGTGCAAATTCTCCTTCCATTTTGTAGATTCATTGTTCAGTGCTACACCAGAGGTAATAGCTGTTCATCAGGCTAAACGCATTTATCGAGCTCTCTCAACTCCTTCGGCTATAAATGATAGTTGCACTGTTTTGGATATATTCTGCGGTACTGGGTCAAATGCCATACAACTGGCGCTACGTGGTTTTCGAGGTATGCATTTTTTCATTCAAAAATGTGTAATTATGAATAAGACGTCAATTACTAATTTGCATATTGCAAACGTTACTGTTACAGTGTAGCGCGTCTGTCTGTCTGTTTAAGAAATAGAACTTTGCACCGATGTGCAACAGTTCAAGTCGCCACACTCCATGTAACACACAAAGCAAGAGAAGAAAGTAGAAGAAATGCATATTAGAGACAGTAAACAGAGGTGTGAGACAAAGGTATAGTATTAACGAAGAACAAAACAGTTTAAATGGAAATCATAAGTCACAAGGAGTGGATGCATCTGCGCCAGCCATTGAGAACGATTTTGAGCCATGTCACCAATTGTTTCCAACCATTGGTGTATACCGTCCCGAGGACCCCAACCAGTCAGGAGGTGTACACCTTCCTAGGTGGCTTAGACTAACTGTTGTAGATTTCATTGACTGGTGCCATGTTTTCGTTTGACCGCCGCTAGCTCTTTTCCAACCTGACCCTATGTCAGCTAACATCGCCCTTGAGGAAGGCGATGACTAGGCATACGTAACACATATCCTAGTCATCTCAGTCGATGTAATTTCACAGTCTCGTCGACTGAATTCCCCTCCTTACCTAGCACTCGACCGATGCCTAACCTCAATATTGCTCACCTTATTATACCACTTCACACGGGAGATAGAACGCAGACACCTATGATCGAAGACAGCTAATTTTTTTATGTCTTCCGCTCTCAATGGCCAGGTCTCACAGCTAGCCATAAAGGAGGACGGAGCGGACTGTTGAGCAGTACACACGCCCTTTGGTCGATAGTCGGATATCACGTCTACGCCAGAGACGGCGTAAACTGGCACATGCGAAACTAGCCCTCTGTATTCGTGTTGAGATTTCGTCAGAGATAACGCGTAACTGATATAAGAATGGAAACATAGCCACTTTGATGGAGTATAATTCTATTGTGTGTAGTAGATTAATTTGATAAAAGCACATCAAGATACAGTATTATCTACTGATGACATTTAAAGCAGGATTTATTGCTAGTGATCATCATATCAATGCATTCACACGACTTTCCAACTTCGTAGGTTGGATAGAGGGAGAGGTTGCTCACTAAATCTTTCTTCATGGAATCTACACCTAACACTAATAACATAGATATAGAAAATACTATTACCCAATCAAAGAATAAGAAATAGTGGAATCGTATAAATAAAGTTAGAAAGTTGTGGGATATGATTACGAGGAATAAATTATGCTCGAAATGTCATCAGTAGATATTACTGTATAACACTGTGTGCTTTTTATCAAATAGTGGAGGTAGCGTGTAACTGTGGGGTTTATAAATCTAGGTACTTCACATCTGACTAGTGGCATAGCGGTTAGGATGCTCGCCGACCATGCACATTGTTCGGGGTTCGATCCCCGGCCGATGCACACCTGATATCAATGGTCGGCCTGCTAAATTTGGGCTACCACCGATATCACGTCACGTGCTTAAAATTCCATACTTGTATCAAAAATACTGTGTGCAGTCAAGCTACTATAAAAAATAAAATGTAGTAATTCACAGGTCGTAATTCTCCTCTTCTTTCTGAAGTCTGAGTAGCTGAGTATTATCATTCCCTGTAACAGCAGAAGGCAAGATACGGAAGCCAAGGTGCATTTTCAAGTGATCAAACTGCTATTTGCTTATATACAGTTTTATATTCTTTAACCAATCACTGAGCGTGTGATTTTGGCTTACATTAAACGACGTGAAATAGAATATTCACATACATATATAGTGGGAATATGTGAGAATAATAACACATTATCTGTATCATACCACCACACTCTTATTAGTCAGCTTCACAAAACCTGAATAATAAGACATATAATTTCTAAGTCAATTAACCTTGAATGTTATAGCGACAGAATTCATAATAATATAAATAAAGATAATATTCGCAATTATCCTACAGCACTGCTCGAGGAATTATTGGAATTGTATTTGGTTAAAAAAAATAATAATAATAATAGCAGCCATAGAGCGCAAATGCATTTATCAAGCCTTTTTTTACATTTAAATTTGGCCCACACATATTTTACGAACTACTGTTTCCTTTATGCCTTTTCATCAAACGTTAAAGAAATACAGTGTGGTATACTATATAGGATGGTAAAACTTTTCCAATTGGCAACTCTGGTGCCCTTTATCTGCTAAATGGGCGGTAATAAACTTCTAATGTATGTTATTATTGTCAATTTGCTCAATCACACACTGGGCAACACTCAAAAAGGTAACAACGGATTTTAGGGTCGTTTTGTGTACTTAACTATCCTCACAAAATCTATTGGACTTACAAACACACATAAAACTAATGAGATTCGTAAATTATCCTTCGCTCTCATTATATATTCATATATATGTAAGTGTGGTGAGAGCTGGCTGCTAGCCAAATTATTAGACTGTAATTTACGTCAATGTTTACATCCCCAATATTGGTCGTGAGAAAAATAAGAACAAAGACTGATTTGGTTACAGGATTTTCATCATGAGCTGACATTAGTTAGAGAACTATTGGAAAACCTGGAAGTACTGGACAGCTGTTTCGTCCTAGTTTTGGGACTCTTCATCAGTACGCACCCACCGGGATTCAAATCCAGGACCTTCTGGTTACAAGGCGAGCTTGTATACCATTAAGCCACTAGGACCCAATCCAATGGCCACTGAATAATTTCCAACTTCTTCCAATTCACGACATAGCGCGACCGCTAGCCAATGTCTTCGGCGAGTATTTGTCCTCACACCCGACCTGCTGCACCCTACTGGTCACGACTTCTCACTAGAACCCCAGGTAACTACCTACCTGAATAGGGCAAGTCGCTAGTGAGCAGCTGTTCAGTACTCCCAGGTTTTCCAATGGTTCTCTAACTAATGTCAGCTCATGATGAAAATCCTGTAACCAATCAAATCCCTACAAACCAACACTTGAAAGACTGATTTAACAACCGACCACAGCAGACTTTGCGTAGGCGGATACAATTTGCAAATAAATAATCTGAACTTCAAGAAACGGCCACAAAGAGATAAAAGATTAACGTTCAACGAGAAACCACCAATCAGAACACTGTGTTTGTTTGCTTACAATAATCTATAATAATGTACATGAAAATCTATAAATATCTGTTGATTTCCTTCATAAAGGATCTGTTGCCTGGCCCTTGTCTTCTGTTGTTACGTAAGTGTTAAACTCGGCACAAAGTGTTCTAACGAAGAAGGTTCTATTAATTCTTTCTTGTATAAAAAGGTTTTGTATCATTCTTATTTCATTATGCTAATTATCTGTTGAATAAAAATATTCATAGCTTAAAACATGAAGATCAGGGTTCAAATTCTTTTTGTTTATTGAAGCAAATTATTGAAAATGCATAAAAGTTAAGGATAATACTGCGGACTGTACTCTTATTAGTTATTAAAGTATATAGAGTGTTCTTCCGTGTGTAGACTGCAATGCTTCTGGTCTGTGCACATTTGAAAAGAGGTAGTGCAATGAAATATATTCATTGTATTCTGTCACAGTGAATTTATTGTATTGTAAAGGACATGTGTATTGCCTAGCAATTCGTTCTGTCCTTCTTTTCGGCTACGAGACATGACCATTGAAAGTCGAAGAATTTGTTTACGCTTGTGTGCCATATGGAGTGCGACAAGTTCAACTACTGCACTTCTGTGCCAAGTTCAGTCAGTCACTGTGTCCCGTTAATTCTGCTGTTCTAACTTTACTGGAAATTGACAAATTGTTGTCTAGTTTTATGCACAGAAAACTTGTTACTTATCACTAATTGTTTTAAGTTCCACATCAAATGAAGTAGTCAAATGTAGTCAAATGAAAGTTTTCTTAAGGCGTTAGTACTGTTTCACAGCAACAGGCACCAGGTTTCAGTACTCCGCAAATCTAACTGACCCTGTCTTACTACTTTGGCTATACAATAGGATCGGACAAGATGACAACTGCAAGATTCACTATAGCAGTGTGGAGGGAAAGATGGATAACTGAAGCTTTGTGTATCGAATCAACGGAGAATACGTATCCAGAATCCACCGTCGCCTGCCCCAGTGCTCCTTGGTCGGATTGTACGGACCCACCAATCGAAGCGGATGTCCGGAAGGAACTCCAAGTACTGAAACGCCATAAGGCATCCAGCCCAAACAATCTACTCCTGGTTCTTTTTAATAATGGTGGCGAGATTCTTATCATGGCTTGAACCGGATTATTCAGGAACGTTTGGGAGAATTAGGATGGACCATCAATGTGGAATGAAGTCATTATCGTCCCCATCTTTAAAAAGGGTCGACGTGACACATGTGACAACCATAGGGGTATCAGTCTATTACCAGTTGCGTCTAAAATGTTGGCTGCTGTCTTGCTTCGCAGGCTGTGCAAAACACGTGAGGGATTGATTCACTAAGAGTAGATTGTGTTTCGTTCAGGTCGTGGATGCATTGATCATGTGTTCACCCTTCGTCAGTTGTTGGAAGACTGCCACACGTATTGCAGGCCGACAAGAAGGCTGCCTTCGATTTGTTGGACAGAACTGTTCTTTGGAACTTTCTGTTACAGATGGGTGTACCTGAGAGGTTTTTTAACATCCTTATAGCCCTATACGGAAATACCTCAGGTAGGGTGAGGGCATACAACCAGCTATCATCACTGTCCCCAACTAACAGTGGGTGTAGACAGGGTTGTCCGATCTCTCCATTTCTCTTTAACTTTGCCGTCGATGACATTCTGAAGTCAACTCTGAAGGATGTGCGTGTTGGAGCTGTAGATCTGTTCCCTGGAGGAAGACTTTTTGACCTCGAGTATGTAGACGATGTCATCTTACTGTGCGATAGCATGCAGGCTGCCAAAACTGCACCTAATCAGTTGGCGGTCAGCTTCTGTATGGTATGTGCTTTGCACTGTCTAAGTGCAAAGTACTCTTACAGGATTGGCAGGAGTCTGTACCTGCACTCACTCTTTCAGGTGAGCCGCCTGAAGTTGTTGATAAGTTTGTTTATCTGGGTAGTTGTGTGCGCTGATGGAGTTGTGACGGACGAGGTTTCTAACCGTATTATGAAAGCTAGAGTTAACTTGAGCCACCTCTTCCGCTGTCGCGACGTTAGCCTGGCTGTCAGAGGTCAGGTTTACAGTGCTTCGGTGCGCGCTGTCTTTCTCTGAGCTTGTGAAACCTAGCCTTTCCGAGCTAGGATGTTCGATCATCGCTTTCTCCGCAGGATTGCTTGCGTTAGATGGTATCATCGCGTGAGTAATTCTGAGGTCTGGCGGTGTGAGCTTGGACACAGTGGAGATCATTCATTGAGTGTCGTCTGGAGACGCCGTCTTCGGTGACTTGAACAGGTGCTAAAAATTTCATCTCAGAGTCCTCCATACAGGTCTCCGTTCGCTAGCCGTAAAACGGGATGGAAAGAGCAGAGAGGTGGTCAGACCATGGCGTGGCATCGTGGGATGAAGGATATTTGTGTTAGGTTTGCATCGGTTGGTGCTTCACGACTCCCTGGTTGGAGTACTAGAGATAGCTTGAATCGGTGGCGAAAACCGTTATCAGATATGGCCAAAAATCGTGATCAGTGGCGAATGTGCTGCAGTTTCCTTCTTTCTTCCCTTTCCGACGGTAATTGACGAATGCTGTTTGAACTTGTTAAATTGACTGTCCTCCTTCCAGAGGAAATACTTTTTTCGTTCTGTACCTATATTTTTACTTATAGTCTATGTTGTTTTATTGTTATTGTGTGGCGCATCTTCTTGGTGCACCAAGGTTTTGCGCTTAGATAAATAAATAATACGTGCGATAAGAACGAGTCAACACCTGTCCGTGGACATCTGGAAATTTCTACTACTCCTACGGTTTTGAAGAAAGAGAGCTACAAAAATCGAGTTTTGAAGTGTATAGTTCCAATCCTAATGCCTATCAATGATAAATTTTATTCGAAATATCATCCAGTGGAGAATACTGCTTCACTCTGTGATATGTTCAATAAATAAACCAATATAGAATTATATATACTACTATAACAACAGAAGACAAGGGCCAGGCAACAGATCGTTTATTAAGGAAATCAACACATATTTATAGATCTTAATGTACATTATTGTAGATTATTGTTAGTAGAAAATACAGTCTTTTGATTGGTTGTTTCTCACCTTGCATCTCTTTGTGGCTGTGTCAGATCATCCATATGCTAACTGTATCCGCATACGCAAAGCCTTTGTTCTCATTTTCTCACCACCAATATTGGGGACATAAACATTGACGTCAATTACTGTCTACCAACTTTGCCTAGAAGGCAGCTCTCACCACACTACCACATTGACAGAGTTTTACGTATATAGAGTTTCCCCACACTGATCCAAGTGATTTTACCTAATTCTTGTAGATTTTTTTTTCAACACTTACAAATTATTTCCTTAATTTAGTATGCTTGCGTATCCAACATTCATTGTTGAATCATGAAGAATCTTAATTATGATTTTAATTTTCCCGTTAATTGGTTGGATCTCTGTTGATATGTCGGCTCGTAGTACTGACGCACCGACGATGTCTGAGAATTTACTTGAAGTAACTGAGCATCAAAAATAAGATCCGGATATTCAACTCCAATGTGAAGTCAGTGCTACTCACTATACGGATCAGAGACTTGGCGCGTCATTAAAAAGCATCTCAAACAAACTACAAACCTTCATTAACAGTTGTCTTCGCTCAATACTCAAGATCAGATGGACGGCCAGAAAAGATCAGCAACAGATATCTCTTGGAAAGAACCAACCAGGAACCGATTGTGAAACAAATATGCAGAAGGAAATGGAGATGGATTGGCCATACACTGAGGAAACCATCAAGTGACATCACTAGACAAGCCATTGTTCGAGTGGAACCCGAAAGGGAAGCGGCGAGTTGGTCGTCAGTGCAAGGGTGACTTGGAGGAGGTCATGTGAAGAGGAGATGAAAACGTGTGGGCAGACATGGAGCCAGGTGAAGACTCTAGCAGAGAACCGAACGCAATGGAGACGCACGGCTGAAGCCCTATGTTCCTCTAGGAATTAAAGGATACAATAATAATAATAATTCAGTGGATAGTGTTTGAAACGAAGGGTATTGGGTTTGAGTCGCAGTGGCAAAACTGTCGCTTGCTCGCTCACTGGGGATTGTAGGCACGCACATCCAAGTGACGAGTCCCAAACAGGACGAAATGCATATCTTGAATCCATTCCACTTCTAATCACCATTCATCAAATTACTTTATGTGATCACTAGTTCTTTATCTCTGTGCTCAAGTTACACTGTAGTTTGTTTGCATAATAATCGAATATCTGAATTACGTTTTATTCTACTATATTTTATTTTTTTTTAGTCGTCGCAATTGAATGTGATCCTATTCGTATTGCAATGGCTGTACATAATGCCGAAATCTACGGTGTTTGCCATCTGATTGAATTTGTCTGCGAGGACTATTTCACTTGGGCATGGAAAGAAATTCATTCAAGGTGCACTGTTCAGTCTTCTAAATCTTCTAAGAAGACTGTTCAGTCTTCTCAATCTCCTAAGAAGACTGAATATATGGCCGCATTTATGTCACCGCCATGGGGTGGACCCAGTTACTTGGATCTGGAAAGTTTCGAATTATCCAATATCGAGTTTCAAAATTCCGACACCGATTTCTGGTCTGCTTTATATTTAGCCTTAGTGTTGACCAATGGAAATGTAGCAGTATATCTACCTCGCAATACAAACATTGCAGACTTTGTAAAGATTTCAACAAAGTGTGTTAAAGAAATCAGAAGTAAATCATTGAATATTGAATTTGAACTGGATTTGATTAATTCTAAGGCTAAAGCTTTAACAGTTTATTTCGGTGCTTTGGCAAATGCTAACCAACTGAATACTGCCGCGTACAATGAATCAGACTGTAGTGAATAGTTTTATAGCCTATGCAAATAATTTATTTATTTATTTATTTTTGTAATCAGATTGATATCCTTTTTCTGAAAATATATCTGTTGATCAGGATTTTATTTCTCGACTTTTACATATTCTAGTATTTTAGAAATAAAGTCGAAGACATCACTAATTCTATGTTGCACGATTTCTCTGTGCAAAGGACCCAAAATCTTCACTAACCACTTCGCTGTTCCGTGAAATGGAGAGTTATACATATCTAAAACAGGGTGAAGAGGAAGACCCGGTTTGTGCACTTTTGGTAGACCGTAAAGACGTGGAGTATAAGTACCCGTTGGTTTCATGGACTCATACGTGGTTGATGATAATACTCCTATTTGGTTCTAGTATTGACAAAATTGTTAGATGAAAAATAACCTATAAATAAATTGTACCAATGTAATAATTAGTCCAGATTTTGAGGCTGTATATTGCATATATTTTGTGGTATATGTTCTGGTTCCGCATGCAGCATAACCTTTGAAACACTGAAATTGAGTATATATGTTATTATTCCTTGCCTTCCGAGTGGAAGATTGGGCTTGAAGCTTTGAATTCCATCATGGGTAAATTTTATTTTGATAAAGTCTCACAGTGTTATACAGTAATGTTTACTGATGACGTTTCGAGCACAATTTATTGCTGCTCATAATCATATCACGGTAATCACACGACTTCTTAAATTCATTTATATAGTTCCACTGTTTTTCACTTGATTTGATTGGTAGTAATATTTTCCATATTTCGGGTATAAGTGATGAATTAAAGTCTCACAGTGTTATACAGTAATGTTTACTGAATAATGTTTACTTAATAAAGCAAGAATTAGGGTGATATTTAAACCTACGAACTCACTCAGGGACAAGCTCTGTAGGTTAAAGGACCCAGTTGACTCAGTTAGACAAAATAATATAATTTACAAAATACCCTGCAATGACTGTGAGTTAGGTCAATTACATAGGTCAAACTAGTAGGTCAGGGGTAGTCAGATTGTCAGAACATAAGAATTTAGCTAAGGTAAGAGTGGTTAACCCAGAGAAGATAAGTAATTTAGAAAAAAGCTCGGCAATTGCAATGCATGCATTAACACACAACCACACAATAGGGTGGGAGAGGGTTAAAATTCTAAAAAGTAATCTAGGCAGGTGGAGAGAGAGGTTGATTACTGAATCCTGGTTCATCGAATCTACGCCCAACACATGCAATAGAAATGATTCATCACTTATACCCGAAATATGGAAAATATTACTACCAATCAAATCAAGTGAAGAACAACGGAACTATATAAATGAATTTAAGAAGTCGTGTGATTACCTTGATATGATTATGAGCAATAAATTGTGCTCGAAACGTCATCAGTAAATATTACTGTATAACACTGTGAGACTTTATCAAAATAAAATTTACGCATAATGGAATTACACTCTACCACAGTGCACAAGTTTATTCTTATATCAATTGAAGCTTTGGACTTTTCATAGAGATATTGTTGTTTTTATGGAGACTTAACCCCCCCCCCCCAACCTTCTGTCTTTTCTGGGCTCTTCATTGACTACAAGTGAGCTAGGCGGAATTTAAGGGTACATCTGTCGGGAAGTGAATCTGGACCATGTGTGTGTGACTGGTCAGAAGTAACGAAGACGGAACACGTAGTCTGGCGAAGAGGTTGTTTTTGGCGGATTCATTTTCTTCAGCCATACAATCGCACTTCCTGTAGAGGGTTAGCAATAGAAGTGATTAGTTGTCATAATCATAATTAACAGAAAACAAGTAGTTTGTTGAGATGGAATGACCAGTGTTGACGAGGTGTTCTGTTATTGCACTCCTTATGCAGCCATTACTTCCTTTCTGCAGCCACGCTGGATAGTGTTCTTTGACCCTTTTTGACAAGATACGCGTTGAACGACCGATGTACCTGGCTCCACAGCAACAGGTGAACTGATATATACACATAGAAGTGGTCAGGTGTGGGATCTTGTCTTTTGGGCTTCTGCAGATCAGCGGGCGACTAGAGAACACTACTCTCAATGTTGCCGAAAGAGGTGGAAATTCTCCTTCTAAGGACGTCACTGAGTAGGTCTCCTTTGAAGTCGAGGTTCATATAAAGTATCTTTTTTGGCGCAGATGCTGTTTCTTGCTTTTGGATTTTTTGTTTGATGTTTTTGTCTACGAATCTTGATGGGTAACCGTTTTGTATGAAGGTTTTTTTCAGGAAGTTTAGTTCTTCTTCCATGGTATCAGAGCTGCAGATGCGTAGGACGCGAGTGGCAAGAGATCTAATTAAGTTTCTTTTCCGACTGATTGGTACCCAGCTGTAGAAGCTTGTCAGTTGGCCGTTCCACGTGAGTTTCCTATGGATGGACCTTCTTAAAGTTCCGTCAGCTCTCCTTGTAAGTTCAACATCAAGAAACGGGATTTTAGATTCGTTTTCAGTTTCAAGAGTGAACTTTGTGGCTGGATGGCATTTGTTGAATATTTGCAGTAATTGATTGAGATTGTGACCGTCATCACAAATAATAAAGATGTCGTCCACATATCTAACGTACTGTTGGAAATTGTCAATAGTTGATTTGAGTGGGCCGTTCTCGAGGCTTGCCATGAAGCAGTCTGCTAGTAATGAGCCCAGTGGAGATCCCATTGCGATCCCATCTTGTTGTCTGTGAATAACCTCGTTGAATATGAATTGTACATTGAGTGTACATCTCAGCAATAGTTCTTTTAAATAAGTCGTCGGTAATCCGATGTTTAGCTGATTTTCTTCTATGTATTGACAAATGTGGCAGACAGTTTCTGTGAGTGGAACGTTGGTAAATAGTGACTCTCTTATATCAACATCCAATTCATCTGAACTTCCTAATTGTATTTTCGTTTGACCAATTTAATGTACACACAAATACAAAACAACCATATATATTTACGATTGTACAGCTATGAAAATGAATTCGCCGAAAAGAGACTCTTCGCTGAACTGCTTGTCTTCTGTCTATTAATGTTCGAATGGGAATTTTTCATAAATAATCATAATTGTTAATATTAGTCTGTGAATAAGAGGAGCCGAATAAGTGTATTAGAATTAAGTAATAAGCTGTATAATTTAATCGCTTGTCACCTTTGTTACTACCCTCTTTCATGGAAAAATTGTACATAAATACGACTGTACAGCTAAAGAAGATGAATTTACTGGAAACAACCTCTTCGCTGAACTAGGTGTTTAGTTTTCGTTGATGTCCGTCCGGGTGGAGACTATTCATAAATTGGATTAGTCACAATTATCAAGAATTGTCCTTCACTGAAAATTGCATATTGTCATTAAAAGTGCAGTAAGCACCGATGTTATATTCGGAATTCTGTATCTTAGATGTAAAGAAAAAGTACCTAACTATGAATACAAATATCTCTGCTCGTATTTCAAGTTAGTGCTGATTAGTTGAGCGAAACTGCTATAAACGATTGTCATTGTCGGTTCTCTGGCATGGGACTCCGTTGGTACCCCACAATATGTTTTTCTGACAATCTAAGTTTTCCTCCTATCTGGGCATCAAAATCACCTACATCGGACTGCTTTTCTTTGTATAGCGAACTCAAAGCCTTGTCATAAAACATCCTTTATTATAAAATTCAGCTAGTGGATACGTAGGCCGAAACTAAGATAAGCCATCGATGAGTGTCACTATCTCTCCTTATTCTTTCGGATCCATTCAGCTGGAGAGCGTATACCACCATCTAATTAAATCCACCCGGACAGTGAGTTTTTGTGTTGTAAAACTCAGTGGCATAGTACCTCTCGAAAGCTGTAGGGTGCTTTCCAGATGGCACAAAGTAAATCACCCTTAGGTCTCTCATGTGTGCCTCAGAAATAGAGCATACACCGACTCCTTGAGATACCAAAGTTCCTGAAAATGGAGTCCTTTGCTCAGTTTGACCTTAGGTTCAGACGTATATAGCTTCACAGAGTAAAAGCCAGCATGAATTTGTGAGACGTGAGGTTGTTTTGCTTGCCTATCTTGTTATCAGTGATCTCAGAGTTCACAGAAGACTGATGAACTTTTTGCGAAATAGTACTAAAAGTCAAGATTGAGAAATGGACAGAGGTAATGACCTCTTTTCCTCTGGCAGAAGAAAGCCGCGCTTAGTATAAACGATTTACCTTATGATAATAACTGCTTTTAGCCATGCTGCTGCTCAGCTCTTCTCTCCAGTATGGTAAGACCTCCTAGTTAGTATAGTTTTAAAATAATAGAAAAGTACAGTTTGTTGGGTAATTGTGAGATGCAAGCTTGACCACCAAGTAAAGATAAAGGCTGCTAGTTGGGAATCATACTATAACTAACTCATGTGGATTATCAACCAATGAATCATGGATACCAAACTTATTCCGTCTATATTCTAGGAATTCTGGAATTATCCATTGACGCTGCACAGCTGGGGTATTTTATGACCTAGTAAGTTAGTGTTATAAATGAAAGTGGGTGTACACTAATGTGATACTGCTAAAGTCAGTACTCTGGTACAGGTTATATCTCCGATTTAACAGTCAATCGTACTGTAGTGAGAGCTGCCTGCTAGCTAAAATTGTAGACACCAATTTACGTCAATATATTTACGTCCCGAATCGGGTCACGAGAGAAAACAATAACAAGGCCTAACCTTGAGGAACTCAACAACCAATCACAGCAAACCTAGCGTGTGCAATACGATTAGCAGATATATCGTTTGACCTTCAAAGAAACGGCCCTTCAAACGGAGATGACAAAATGACTTTCAGCGAGAAAACAACCAGTCGGAAGACGCTGTTTCTCTGCTAATAATAATGTACATAAGTATCTGTTGATTTTCTCAACAAACGATCTGTTGCCTGGCCCTTGTCTTCTGTCGTATGACAACAGTATTAAATACACTTTAATATTCCCTCATTTTCGATGTATTCGTAGTCCTGCTCAAATATGATTAAATCTCAAAGTGAGTAATGTTGAAGATTGAGGTAGAATGATGACTGTAAAGGAGATGGACCAACCAATGAGATTGGGAATCGTTACCATTTCAAGGGATAAGCGAATCAGGTTGTTGATTTTAGTGA